TAGCAGAATGTCCTGCTATGTCACATTTCATATTTTTTACCACCTTGCCTAATTTCAGTGAGAGAAGATATGCTAACAATCTGTTGATTGGCTAAAGTTGTTGAGAATCCAAGGTTCCAAGCATGTTTTATTCTGTGCTCATTCTGTTTCGGTTAAAAAACTCAGTCAATACCAGATTCTAGTAGCTCAGGGATAGAGCTAAGAAATGGCTTCTTCTCAGCGTTACGTTTGTCAAATGCAAGAGGATCAAAATAGAAGCAAACTGAGTTTGAACATGGGTCAAGGTTTTGAGTGTTGGTGCTGACTAAAGGAAGCAAAGGGGCTTGGAAGCTAAGTAGGGGTGGCTGCTTTACTTCTTGGTAGGTCAGTTAAATGTTGGTTAATGCTAACTAAATGCTAGCATTGCACACCACTTACTGTCCAAAGGGAGTTAAACTTGTAGCTGTAACTATTATTTTAGGGGGGGGGAGTCCTTTAAAAGTGTTTCTGGAATTCTAAATAATTTTTATATCAGAAAGATATTTTTATCTATGCTGAACTTATAAGGTCAAATAATACAGAGGGGCATATATTTAATACCTATATAAAGAGTAAAGCTTTTTAAATTTGACTGGGAGGTCAGACCTGATGTGTTCGGTGCAGCGTCATACATATGGCATTATAGAGAATCTTGTAGATATATAAATTCGATGGTAAGTGCTTGTCCAATCTCCTCAAATGTCTTTTTTTTACTCCTGTAAAGTCCTAGCTTGAAAAAAAGGAGATAAACAGTCTACATCTTTAAGATAATTCTGCTCCAACCTCTTGCAACCTTGTTATAGATATTGCTAACTGGATGTAACAGGCTGAATACAACATGCAAGAGATGAATGTATAAACTTCACACCAACTTTAGAGCAACTTTAGCAATTCCCCAAGGGAGCTGTTACTTGATAACAGAAACCACACAGGGTATACAAAAGCAAAAAAAAACACAAAACAAAACAAAGAAAACAAAGCCGAGTTTGGAGTATGAGTACAAGAGCATGGATCGACATACGGTACTTTCACAACAAACAGTTTGATATTTAAGGAGAAGGAATCTTCTATTTTCATTGTTATGTGTAACAATGCACTTATTTTTAAAGGACTCCCATTCTTTTATAAGATCCCCAAAAATGTGCGTGATAGATAAAAAGCCATGCTTGCATAATTTGATGTACATAAACCAGATTTAATACCAAGGTTAAAAAGGTATGATTTGCATCTGTGGCACCAACAACCCATGGGTTTTATGGTTACTTAACAAACATATGCAGTGAAAGAATAAGTGCCTCATTAAAGCCCTCTACATATTTCATGGTGGTCTTTGCTGAAACTGTGGCTTATAAATACATGCAGCTATCCCAGCTACTCACATAGGCTGATGTACAAGAATTCATCAATACTTTATGTTTGCATGCAGTCTTAGAAAGATGGATGGTGTCATATTTTCTTTCAGATCTTTTAATATTTAATGAGAACATTTAAAACAAATTGTCCCCCAAGGCCAGTTACTGAAAGGATTCACAAAAGCAGGGGTGAAGATACTGTCCAGTAGTAAATCATCAGCCACATCATCAGTAATAAATTCACAAGTGTTCACTTTTTACTGGAGTAAATCCATGGTCCTAAATTTGTTTTAGAGAACTTGAGGATTTAAATCTAACAGATATTAGGCTGGGTGCATGTCATATATTTTTTCCTTTCTATTTACAATAAACTCTGTTCTTCTTGTATATAGGCTATACATTAGAGCCCCTTCTGTTCAGTAAACAACCGCCTCGCACACCTTTTAAAGGTCAGCAGCAATGTTTACTCATGTTGCAGGCATGACATCTGAAACAACATATATGCAGAGACATATTGCCTTTGTTATTTATACATGTTTAACATGAATTCATTTCTATTTCAGTTTGCATATTATCAGATATAAACAAATCCTTTTTCATTAATCGGTGTGTAGTGATTTCCAAGATTTTGGTGATAACAGCAAATGTGTTTTTTCCATCATGTTCTAATTTTATTTTTTGTATTGAAAAATTCTGTTTTCAATTTCATTGATTCTTTGTGTTCTGGTTCAAACTACAAGCATTGTTCCCTTGTTTTTCAAGTTCCTTCCCTGGTATTTTATTAAATATATTCTCCCCTAAAATGAGCATTCTGTCATTCCCCCTGTTCTCATAGATTTAAAATCATACAGTCAACTCGTGCTTACACAGTGGGATTTATTTTTTTATGCAGGATTGCTTTCGGATCATTGAGTCGATGCAATCAACTGGTTTTCTTTAGACAGAAAACTCTGAATCAGTTTGACTGTATAATCTAGTTGAATTGTCTCTGTAAAGTTCCTTGGGGTGACATGTGTTGTGAATTGGCGCTAGATAAATAAACTTAATTGAATTGATTTAATAAAATCCCAATGTTACAATTATTGGTCATTCTTACAATCCATAATATCACATTTCCAGGTTTGTAATTCTTTTTAAAAGTTGATTAGATTTTCTAAGAAGTTTAAGTCAATCATAGACCTTCTGTTTTCCTGGGGCATACACAGGGTTTCTCACACCTGATTTCACAAGGAGGCCCCTTTAATTCTTCCCTCTGGCAACTAGGCAGATCAGGAGCATTATTCATCATGCACGTTGAACTGGTAGAGACATAAAAAAAGTAATGTCATGCTTTCTTTGCCTGACATAACCTCGGTGCAATGTTTCAACATCTACCAGTCTTTGAGAAAACCAGTCAGAGGAAAGGTGACCTGACCCATTACTTTCAGCTGTGAGATATTTGTTGAGTTTCTGATACTGTAAGTACAGTCATTTTACAGCACTCCAGTGGGGTAGTGATCCGTTTCTTGATCTGTCTGAGCAATCTTTATAAATTATCAGCCAGTACTCGGTAGATTTACATTCACGTTGCAAAGAGAACATGAAAACTCCATGTTGAACGATCCAAGGCAGGGAATCAAAGCCAGGAAATGTTGTTGCAAGGCAACAGTGCTACAAATAGCCTCACAGTGCATCATATTTTCGATATCCTTACGTCCAAGTTTGATTAAAAAGACAAAGACTTAATCAGCTCTTTTTCTTTTCTTTTTTTGATGACAGTCTGTAAAAGTATTTTATGCTGACTTTAGGTTTGGGGGAAGGATCTGTGATGTTGTGGGCTTTCATAGACTGTCCACAACAGAGTATTTACTGTAATGAAGATTTTTAAATAAAAGTTTGATTGACTTAACCAGCAAATGAAATTGAGGCATCAAAGTCAATAAATGGTTCATGACATACAAAATCAATCTACTTTTTACTTTTTTCGCAGTCCTTTAGATCATAAAGAAAATGTATGATATAATCTAAAGAGGAGATAACCTAAGAAATGGCTCAGGGTGTAGACAGCATATTCCATCTCTCTATATCTTACAGAAGAGGGAAATTTTCCAAGAGAATAAATAACATTTCCTGTTTGCAGTGGAAGCTTAAAAATCATTAACATCAGAGGTGCATTTTTAGTGCCAAAATGTATGATGCTAATAGCAATTATTCTTTTACATGGGATTTTCCATCTGAATTTTAAGCCTGAGTTTTTCAAATTGTTATGATTATTTACCTGAAATATAAAACTGAATTTATTGTATGGTTGTTGATGCATATTTACCAAGGGTTCCATTAAATCTCTTCATGTCTGTGTGTAATCACTAGTGTGTGAAAAGTCTACCAGGCTCATTAGCTGTGACAAATTGCTTTGTTCAGGGGCTCCAGAGGAACATCCCAAAAGAAAAATAAATAATATATCTTGATAAGATTGTATTGCCCCTTTGGGACCTCTCTATATCTCCTTGACGTTTGTTTTTATATTACTGTTTCAAAGTGGAATGTTATATTACAGAGTGCTGCCTTTTAAAAATGTATGTGGTGTTGCAGAATTTTTAAAAGCCCAGCGGTCTGTGGGCTTTACAACAGATACTGACACTCCTAAGAGGAGGCGCTGTCTATGGTGCTACATTTACATCTCATGCTGCTTTTTAACCAACAAGCGCGACCTGGTGCTGTCCATGGTGCTGTATGAAATACAGCAGGAATTCTAAAGAACTGAATTAATATTTTCCGGAAAGTGTTAAGCAACAGACACATTGCCGAGTTTTTGTCACACCTTTTAATCCGTCATTAGTTATGCTCAACAGTGGGAGATTGCTGACCAGCTGAACTCTTTGCAGATTCAAATATTCCTGCCCTGACTGAAAGCTTTTCTGGGTCAAATGATTTACCGTCCTTCACATCAATTTACAACTGTCACATCAAAGCTCGTCAGTTTTCACCAAACGGACACGGCTTTTCCTAGAGTGTCATGCACAGTAACACGCCACGCCACCCATGCAGAGACACATCACACTTCACCCGGACCCGCTGCCGTTTTATTGGCGCTGGTCTGCCACTCCACGCTAATTACTCACGGTTTCTATTCACAGCTATAAATCCCACATGGTTGCCAGCTTCTTTTATCAGTTAGCAAAGGCAGTTTTAGTGATTCCCATTAATGCCTCATGGACCACTCTGTGTGAGGTTCAGTGGGTAAATAGAACAATCTTAACTACATGGTCGCCAAATCCCCGAAACATATTTTTATTAATTCTATACAGCATAGTAAAAGTTATTTTGCATTTCACTAAATTAGGTGTTTTAAGTATACATTCAAACTACATTATTATCCATTAGATTGATTAATGGTTCGTTTTGTTTGGTTATTTAAACTTTCTGCTTTTCTTCTCCGTAAACAGAGATGACAATAGAACAATAGCAAAGGATCTATTTGATAATGCAGCAAGACATACGAAGCCGAATTACTATATTTTTAATATATCATCACTCCTCATATAAAGACTTTGCTTGCATTTAAGATTTTTTTCTTTAATGAGAACACAAATTAAGAACACTCGAGTAACTTTTACGCGGTGCCTTTTCAACGCATTCAGGCGTCCTTACCTCACTGGGCATGTCAGCTAACATCACAAGTAGAAACATGGCACTGAAGAGATGCATTGTTGGAGGAATGATAGCGTCCCAACGCGCAGTACTTCCAGCAGCTCTCCCCGTCTGTCTTACTGGGGCCGTTTTTTCAGACCCAAAGGGATTCCTTCAAAGCTGTGTCGGCTGTGCACCACTAGCCTCATCACCAGAACGCCGAGGAAGCCCTCAGTGGCTTGGTTAAGCGATCAGCCGCTGGTCTTCTGTGGAGCATAGACTCTTGTGAGGTGGTGAAATGTAAAAAGAAAAAAAAAAAGCAGCTACAATCTCTCAGAGTGGGAGAGAAACTCGTTAAAATGATGTAATATGAGCAGATACAGCCGTCCCCTCCAACCCGCAGAATAACTGCGACTGAGAAAGGAAAAGAGAAAAGGAGAGGAGAGGAGGGGAGAGTCGCAGAGGTTGGAAGGTGACTGCTGTGCTTTCAAGGTGTGGACGCTAGGAGCAGCACATCTATGTGCCAGGAGCCAATTCAAACAAGTCCTGGTCTATAATGCAGTCCAGCCGAGTAGTGCATGCGCGCAATGAGATGAACAGAGAGTTTGACAAAAAAAAAAAGAGACAATGATAGATAGATAGATAGATAGATAGATAGATAGATAGATAGATAGATAGATAGATAGATAGATAGATAGATAGATAGATAGATAACATACACTTCTAAAAGAGGAATAGTATAAAGTCAACATAGTGACTGCCTCTCTCAAATACCAAGAGTTAGAATATGCCAAAAGAAATATATGGAGCCTAAAAGAGCTACAGATTACTACCCTTGTATTGATTTATCAGTTTCATGATTTTTTTCAAGGTTATGCCTGCACCTTTTGCAGAATGTCAAAAGTGGACAGCCTCTCCGCTCCATTTTTGTTGTCACACCTAGAAGAATCCTCTTTGGAATAAAATGCACAACATGTCACCTGTATTTCTCTTGGCTGACCAGAGTCAACAAAGCTGAACCAACAAAAGTCAGACACACATATATATATATATTTAAAAACCTGCTCAGAGGTGTCAGCCGCGGGTGTTTTTCAGCTGGATATGCCAAGAGTTACAGAGCTAAAAACTTGTTTGAAGTGTTTACCATCCCTGCTTGTTGGTTACCTTAAACATGCTCTATTATTCTTATAACAACAGTGGCTTTCTTTAATGGAGGAGAATTTCTCCCTTGATTAATAATGAGATAAATTAATGGCTCAACAAAACACTGCATGGACAAAAATTTGCTAGAAATCTAACACCAGTATTTGTCCTTCTCATTTTCTCAGCTAGAAAACAAATTATGTGGAGGTGAAGAGAGGCTAAACAAGGAAGTAGTTATCTATGAAAAAGTATGTAAAAGCAAAATAAATCATTAGTTGTTTTTCTAGTTGTTAGATTCTAATTATTTAGGTAGCATTTTTTTATGTTGCAATCTAAATGTTGCTTTTGCTCATTCATACAGTTACCAAGAGGACACTAGAGAAAAAACCCACAACTGCCAGGAGGAGTACAATTGTTGATGAGTCACTGCAGGCGGCTAGAGTGCAACTGTATTCAACAGTAAAGATTTACTATAATGCTCCTCTTTTGTCCTTGTATTTCAGAGTTCCTTATCTTATATAATTGACAGATTTTCTCTTACTGTACTTCTAATTCTAGTATTTTCTATATATTCATAAGTTTGATCCTTTTTAATGTTAGATTCGATCAATTCTTTCATGTGTCTATAATGGTCAAATGCTTGCCTCTCTCCTCTTAAACCTTGTTAAGCATTGTCTGTTACACACCCTTTTTATCTTTCATCCACTCTTGATGACTATTCAGATGAATGTTGAAAAAAGAAAGCATTTAGGATGCTGGAGGAATGCTTCTGTCACAAATGCAAACAAAGCTTGACCCATTTGTCAGTGGAGGAGCAATTTTCTGTTTTCATCGCTATAACTGAAGCAGACAAGGCCTAGAGAATGGAGAAAATAGACCCTCACGGCTAATGTGTTTTTTTCAAGGCATTCTCTCTACTTCTGTCACCTCAAACTGGTTAGCAATAAAATATATTGAAGTATATGAAATTAGCTATCCACAACTTTCTTTTATGTTTTCATCTTTTTCCTTTTTTTTTTTACGTATTTACCTTTTAATAACTATCTAAAGACATTTTATTGATGTCAGGTTCTCTAACATCATTGTGTCATTGGGACTTCATCTGACAACTGCTTTCTGCTCTGTTCTTTTGTATGCGTGACTAAATTATTTTGCTGACTTCCACATCATTTGTGGAAAAATCTACCTAAAAAAAACATGTGGTGGACACAATTTTATCCATCATAGCTTTCCTGTTGTCATAAAAATGTCACATTTTCAGGATTCGACTTGAAGTGAGCATACTGAAAAAAAATGGTTCGAAGAAAACCTTTTTCGGGAGATTCTGAAAGCGGAACTCTTTTGAGTTATCTTGCTAAGACTAAATCATCAGGTACATTTGTAAAATTTAGAACTAGACTTCAAATACAGACAGACATAAACAACCTAATCAGATTTTATGAAGTCAGAGAACATGAGTTGTTATGTCTAGTGAACAAATACTGCTAATGGTATGGCTGATATTGATCTTAGTAATACAACCATAGCTGTCAGTGTTGCAGAGTTATTACACAATAGAAGCAAATGACCATATGCTTCCAAGGAACAACCACATTGCTGAGTCTATATTACTTTGCTTGAAAAGTATGCAGCTTCTTGAGCTTGCAGTCTTTGGTTTCCCATGTGAAAACTTTGTGTTGTTGCATGAACAATCCCTCCAAAGTTTGACCTTGTCCTGTCTTAATATTGTTTTTTTTTTTTTTGTAATTAGAAAAATTAAACCTCATCTTCCATGCATCATGATCTCTTCCAAACTGTTTTTGTCATATAAAGTTTATACAAAACCACCTGCAGCAACGTTAGACTGTGTGCTAGAAAAAAATGGTAAATCATTACCATGCTTTGGTGAGCTATAGTCACCCTGTGCAAAATGGGTGGGAAGTGTATTTTTCTGAAAATGTGAAAGTTGTGGATCGATTTCAGCTTCCTCCGGTTACAAGGCTTAACTCCAAATTGCTTATCGAACTGTATTGATCGTATCAGTGTTATGGCGAGCGTGACTGGGTGAATGATGCAGTAGCATAAAGAGATTTGAGTTGATGGTTTAACTAGAACAGCTTAATAGGAATTCAATCCATACACCATTTAAGATTATCCACTATTCAATCTGACAGATATATGATCAATCTCTTTAAGCTTTGATTCTGAATATTTATCTTGTGAGTAATTATCAGTGTGATGCTATTTATCCTGTTTAAAGAAATATCGAAATTCATTCAATGTGCAAAGAAAATCTTTGCAAACAGAGTTTTAGTTGAAAATTTATTTTTATTTTTGTATTCATTTTTTATCCACATCTTTGATTTGTCGATTTCAGCTATGTAGGGCTCTGATTGTCTAACATTTAATTCCAGGTTGGAAAATTTTGACAGGGTTGATCTTCCCCCAATATGGGTTACTTTCATAAGGGTTTTATTTTTGAGTTTGAACTCTGAATTCAGAGGGAAGATTAAAAAACACAACAACAACAAAAAACAGAAAAAATAACAAAGAACGATGATTTTCATCAGCTTAAGGATGTGGCCAGTCTTTGGAGTTGTGATTGTGATTTTTTTCAACACAATGCACTACTCAAATTTTATTTTTGAGTGACATTATGCTAAACTTAATCTTTTTCTCCTTGCAAGGCATGCTTTAAGCTTTCACTAACCTGATTCCTGAGTGCACACTTCAAGTTCCGAACATAAGTGAAAGAAATTCAGACATACAGACCATGAAGAAAGAGAGACAATCACAGCTTTCACATTTGAAATGGACCTCTATAGACCCATAGAAGCCATGTTGTCTACTGTGTTGAAATGAAAAAGCTGAAGGAACAATAATAAGGATGCTGCATACAGTATGTATACAGTCTGCTTTACTGTCATGGTACTTTGTTCTCAATAAAAACCAAACAGGCTCCTTCCTCAGGTGTATTGAGCAAATTCTTTATTTCTACTTATCCATCCAGATCTCTTACCTCAGGTTAAAGGAGGCAATCTAAAAATGATCAAAACTATTCTTTATTTGAGGCCTGTGGGTTGAACATGTACTTGACGATTTCAAGTTATTAATAATCAGCTTAAAAACAACACAAAAAGACCTCCAAAAGCATCTAATTCTTAGTTCATGCAGTCTGTAATTTACAAGTCGTTGCTTTTCATTTATTTTCTTCTGATTAGCAGCCATTTAGGCTTACTTAGCATTAGAGTATTTTTCGTTTGGTACACATTAGGGCATTCATAATAGATGTGATATCTGTTTCAAGAATCTTGAGTAAACAGAGTTTCTATTTCTATCCTTTCTCTCTTTTATATGCATGTCAAGGCCCTGTAGAGAGGTATAATTTAATTCTAACAATCATAAGCTAATTAAACTGGTTTGATTTTGATAAGAAATAAGACTAATTGCTTCCTAACACTAACCCAGGTCATTACAAGGACATTAACAAAATAGACAACAGCACAGAGATTCCAACCCAAAAAAAAAAAAGGAGATATCAAAAGCACAAATAAGTTTTGTGAAAACATTACAGCAGATAGCACCCTAATTGTGAACACAGCTTTTTAATTTTCGACCAGTTTATACAACACGAAACACAGCGAAAGAGTCTTTACACAGACCAAAAGGAAACCACAGCTTATTATTTATAACAATGGGAGATTGCTTTCTTTAGCTCTATTCTAAACTTTCGAATTTAATGTTGAGACATTGGTGCTTTAAGTTCTAATGTCAGCAGTGGATCAATTACAGGTTGTAAAGGTTTTTCAGTTGAATTTCCAACAAAAGAGATCAAAACAAAATGTTTTTACTTCTTTCACTAAGAAAAACCTATGTATTTTTATATTAGAAAGAATGTGTTAGCGGCAGTAAAAATCAACCAGCCATTAGGTCGGAGAGTCAAGAGCTTTCTCTGCTGAGTATAGAAACACTCAGAGTGCCAAGAAGGAAAGGCGTGAAACATTCATCGGCTGCCAGAGGATGGAACTAAACATGGCTTTTCACACCTATTGTTAGTCCAAGCCCTTTGGATTCAGCAGAAGACCAAGGCAACCAAGACAAGGACAGATCAAGTTCAGCCGGAGTGTGTATTAAAAAAGGACCCTACAGGGTTCTGTGCCTCATATCACTGCTGCAAATATCATCAGTCTCTACCCAAGATAAGCTTAAGACAAGGCATTGTTAAATCTGAAAGGCTAATGTTTCCCACAACAGACTTGCAGAAGTATAAAAAACAGGAAAGGTGGGGTAATATATGTTGCCAAATTAATCAAGATGATGTGCCAAGAGGTCCATTTTG